AGGTGTGATTTGGGGAGGTAAAGTGTATTTTGGGTGTTACTTCAGTTGTATTTTGCAGTAAGTCTATGATGCTATAAATAAATATGGTATGGTATGGTATGGTATGGTATGGTATGGTGGTATACGCTTCTTCCTCCTCCCCATAATATGTTGGGAAATAATCAGACAAGGTCTTATAATGATTTTCAGGTGCTACATTGTTTTATGGTGTTTTGTGTTATTTTGGTGGTGTGGTGTTTTTTACTTTAATTATGTATTGTGTTTTATCTACTGGAAGCTGTCTTGTGGAGACATGACCCTAAAAGGTTGCCTAGAAAACTTTTAAACAAAAAAACCTCCTGTAGACTAATCCCATCTGGCCTATTGATAGGCATCATTGTTTAAATACTCAGCGCTGGCTGTATTTTACATTTCCATCGCAATAACGGCACAGTATTTTATTAGCCTTGTATGAATCATGATAGGCATAGGTGCTAGTAGGACCTCCCCCCCCCAAAAAAAAATTAGTTTGTAGCAATATTTCTATTTAGATAATCACATTTCTGAAGTAGCTGTGTACATAGTAAATGGTCCCTGAAGACCTTTAGTCATTCACAGGAATATTCCCTGTAGGGCCCAGTTGCACAGAAATTAATAAAGTCCATACAGCAAGTTCTATGTCTGGCAAAGATACTGTATTAGTTTGCCATGAATGATTAAAGGCAGTGCTGTCATTAAAAGCCAATTACTGCATTTGGTCTAGCTCTAGGAAGATCTTTCACATGTAAAGCATCCTACTGAGAACTGTTATGTAATGATCATTACCCTTCGCAGCTTTTTGTTCCGAAATTCACAATAAACTTGAAAACATTCATGACACATTAATTATTATTTCAATCTCTTATTTTTTTGCCTGTCCAAGTAAGCATAGAATTTGCTTGTTTGGGAGCCAGTTTCTGGGGAATTCTGATGTGTTGGACGACATCCAATCGTCATACCTTTGATGTTTTGCTGCATGTGTGTGTAACAGAATATGCCCCATCGTACCGTTTAATTGGCATCTACAGTAAGTAACCCTTTGAAGTAAGCAGCCAAATAGCATAGGCATGCACAAGATAATTAAGTGTTGGAGAGTAAATGTATGTGATCGTGATCGCACCCACACTGGTTGATGTTTTCCTTTGACTAGTGCTATTACTGTGTCACTACAGGTAGAGGGATGCCTGAATTAGTGTGGCCACTGGAACATGGCCAAAAAGAGTAATTGCAAGAAAAGAGTACTGAGGAGAACATGGATTTGCACAGAGGGTTGTCTTCTGACAGCACTTCAAACAGAGGACACTGTAAAGCAGGATCCCTAGTCACCTTAATTTGAATGCTTATGCAATTTTTTTTAAAAAATAAATAAAATAAAGATAAAAAACAGCAACTCCCTGTAGTTGAAGTATTAGCACATCATGGAGAAATATTCAGGTTCATCCCCTTGTCTGCTGCACTGGTGTTACAGGGAGTTACTCTAATGGAAGGAGATATTCAAAAATAGCGACCTCCCAAAAAACTTCAGCTTGAAATGGTAGAACCAGCATTCTGTCCACTCATTTTGCTGAACACAAGGAGCATGTTTCTCCTTCGCAAACTTATCCCCCCCCCCCCGTTTCCATGTGTTCACACTGGGATTTAGTTGATGGTTCAGGTGTGGTTGTGAGCATGGGAATTAATAGGTGTGTTACCCAAAGTACAAAATGTTAACATTTAATGCAATAATTTAAAAGCATACAAGAAAGTGATTGTGAAAATTAGGAAAGAATTTCTGATGATGTAGTGATATGAAGTACCTCTAAAACGCCATTTTCATGAAGGGCATCTGCTTGGTTTATCACAAGGCTTCAGATACTAAGAGCTTTAATATGAAAAAGTTGAACACCACAGAGTTTGAGGTAGCTTTGTAGGTACACAAGGGGTGGGGAGTTTGATTGCCTTCACAAAAAGAGGAACATTTGAGATAGCAGCTGCTCATTACGTCGCTTTATCTATAGATGACAAATTTTTTTCTGGCTGAATTTGATGGCTTCAAACAGATACGTATTTCTATCTCAAATGTGTGAGAAGCAGTTTATCATAGTGTTAAACTATTCATTGATACGACCAGAAGCAGCGATTCACAAAAAATATGTAAAAATGCTATAACTTATTATGTAGAATTTCAAATCACTGCCTAATTATTTATCATAATTACTGAAGCAACACTGAATAAATCAGCTATAAAGGGATGAGTCATGCATGACAGCACATCTAGAACATGCATTTTTAAGAGCTTTGCATCATTGGTTCTCATCTGTATTGAAAATGAGTTTATAGGGATTTCTTTTTTCTTCTATTATTAGGTATTTTGACAAGCAAGTTCCCTCTGCTGGCTCCTTTCTTTATTCCCAATGTTGATTATTGATCTAGTAGATAGAGCACTGAGAAAACCAGCTGTGTTTTACAGGCATAGAGATGTCCTGGGTAACATTATGTGCGTTATTAGAAATAATTATTAACATGACCATGTGGATCGACAGACCAGGTTATCTGCTGATTGCACACAATGTAGGCACTCCCTCTCCTTAGCAATGCAAACTTTATTTAGCGTGCTCTGTAGCTATATCCGTGGTTTGATAGCTTTAAAATCTTAATGTTAATATTCAGCTATGTGAGCTCTGCTCATGTGACATATCTGTGGATATGAACATGCAGATGGGGAGAAACGGAACTAGGTCCACTGGCCTCATGCATGCTCAGTAAAAAATCTGGAGCTCATGTTTCCAAATTCTACATATAGTGCCAGTGGAAATGATCTTAGCTATAGTTTGTTACAGGGACGTGGGTGGCGCTGTGGTCTAATCCACTGAGCCTTGGGCTTGCCGATCAGAAGGTCGGTGGTTCGAATCCTCGTGACGGGGTGAGCTCCCGTTGCTCAGTACCAGCTCCTGCCACCCTAGCAGTTTGAAAGCACGTCAAAGTGCAAGTAGATAAATAGGTACCGCTCCGGCAGGAAAGTAAACGGTGTTTCCATGCGCTGCTCTGGACAAACGCTGGTTCCCTTGGCCAGTAAAGCGAGATGAGGCAACCCCAGAGCTGTTCGTGACTGGACTTAAATGTCAGGGGTCCTTTACCTTTACCTTTTATAGTTTGTTACATTTAATGAACAGGGCTGCATAGTTTTGTTTTTTCTTGAAGAAGAGACTAAAGACAAGAAATTATCTGATAGATGTTGTAGGTATAATGCTGGAGATACTTTATTGAGATATATGGTGTGGGCATGCTTTTGGTCTGAGGTGGTTGTCCATATCGGTTTTGTACTGGTGAAATCCTTGATATCCATGGATATCCATGTACTTTTAAATTATATTCATGTAGTATGAGATTCCGCCCTCCTCCTGCCTTTAGTGTTTTTAGCCAATGAATGCTTATAGAGAAATTTACAACCCTCAAACGGCCTCAAAATGACCCAGGATTCCTTTCTCTAAACAATGGACGTGTGTCATTGTGAACTCATTCTATGAGCTTCCTTTGTATGTGGGTCACTCTAGATTTTTCTTTAGATTCAGACAAGGGAGAATTACTGGTACTTTGAAGCTGCCCACCCCCACACTCCTGTCTTTCCTGGTGCAGAAGTGATTGTTGGCCAGAGAAATAATTGACAAATCTGGGGTGTATTTCAGTATAGCTATGGCTGTGTGACTGAAGTAAAAGGGAGCAGCAAAAGTAGAAGTTCATGGTTTTCCCCACTCAGATTTGATTTAACACCCCCCCACACGTTACCTTTTCAAAAATACAAATAAAACTCATACCTCCATAGCACCCTCCAACATTCCTCATGAAAATAGAGACATTTCATTCTAAACCACAGAATATCCCTATTTTCATGCAGAATGTTGGAGTGTATCACTATCTATATTTTGAGAGGGGGGTATTGTGCTTGAGAATAATGAGTTACATCAGCTCTGCAAATTCACCCAGTGTTGATATTCTACATTTGTGGGTGGGGTGATCTGAGAGAGGGAGGAGTAATGCACAACAACCCTGAAGTACACTCCACGGTAATCCAGTCTCTTGGTGTGTTGGTTATTTTTATTCAATAAAGAAAATTTGGTGTATGTGTGGCCGGGGTAGGAAGGGGAAGTTGATAGTAGCATGGAGTAGATAGTATGGAGAGGGTGTGTGTATGAATAAATGCTTTCCCACCTATGAGAGAAAAATAGGCCAATCCTTGGGGACTGGCTGTTGTTGCTGGTTTAAATTCTTAAATGGGTGTATCCATGACAAAGCTTCAAAGCCTTTTTTGCTCAAAAATAGAAAAAAGAACAAAAGAGAAGGGCGGCTTTTTGACCTTTGCTGAGAGTATTGCTGCAGTTATTATGAGGTATAAATAAATAATTACAACCCATACTCTTAGAATACACTACTTGCTGTTTAACAGTTTAATCTGGAATTTATCCAAGCATGTCCACCTGAACCTTGGTTGCTGTAAATCTTAATTCTCTCTTGACACCTGACCTCTTCAATCAGAAACTGCATGCCTGATCTTGCAATGAACGTAGCATTGCTAGCCTAGGAGCAATTGAACAAAGACCTACAGTGATGTAACCGGTTCACAACTCATTAAACTTGGGTTGTTTACATGGGTCAAGGTTGGCACTGGAGGAGAGCAAAGCTCTTGCTTTTTGACAGGCAGACATTCAATAAGTTAGGCATACAAAAAACCTGCATAGTGAAAGTGGGAAGGGATTTCCACAATGTCACAAAGAATGTCCTCTCTCGGGCTACCCGCCCCAAGCTACCTAGTATGTAGAGGCCCCCTCTGCCAATCTTAATGTTTCAGAAGTTCTGTAGGTAGGACACCATCATTTAGATCAGGCATAGGCAACCTCGGCCCTTCAGATGTTTCGAGACTACAATTCCCATCATCCCTGACCTCTGGTCTTGTTAGCTAGGGATCATGGGAGTTGTAGTCCCAAAACATCTGGAGAGCTGAGGTTGCCCATGCCTGATTTAGATGGTTGGTTAGAGTGTGGTGCTGGCAACGCCAAGGTTGAAGGTTCGATCCCTGTAAGGGGCAGCTGCATTGCAGGGGGTTGGACTAGATGATTCTCAGGTCCCCTTCCAACTTTGATTCTGTGAGATGGAGGCTAAGTTGTTTAGGGCTTTAAACATTCATTTGAAAATCCTTACTTGGAAGTGAGGTACCCCAGAAAGTATTTGGTGTCTTTTTTGGGGGTGGGGTGACCAGTTGATGTTTCCAAGTTATCTTCAGTGGCAGACGCTTGTAGAGTGTAAATCAGGGAGTATAGTGGCCAAATCATCTGTGTCCAAGTTGTATGACCCTTTTGCCAGTGGAGCAGAATACATGCCACCTTTATTCTATGTTGCAGAGTAGGCGCTTTGTCTCACCTCAAGGATGGCAGACATAGCTATAAGGCTTGGTCTTACCAACTTTAGGTCAGCAGGCATTTTTGGAAGTTTCCTTGTAGGCAGCTACAAGTAAGTCATAAGGATGACAGGGAACTCTTGGGTATGCTTGGGCCCATAACTTGTGGGTTTAGTTTCTCTTTCACCTTTCTTTCTTTCTTTCTTTCTTTCTTTCTTTCTTTCTTTCTTTCTTTCTTTCTTCTGTTGTAGCAAGTAATATTAAGTAAAGGATCCAGTTTAAGCCTACAGCTGTGCTGGTCTTACCTGTGTTGAGACAAAAACCTACCCTGCAACATTTACTCGGGCAAATCCTGTTGGCACCCTGCTACTCAGATGTAAGCCCCATTAAGTTTAATGGAAGTTACCCCCACGTAAGTGCATGTAGGCTTGCAACCTTTAAAAAGCACCTAAACGGAACAAACGTGGTGATGGAGGGGATTACAGAATAAAGATACTATTGGCAATTCATAGCATAGCATTCATATATTCCCTTGTGCTTTTCACATGGTTAGAGCCCAGAAACCGTTTGATGAGGCTGAAAAATGGTTATAGACAACTTGCAGGATTATTTGCATGCTGCACTAAAACCAGGAGGTTATTCCAAAAAAGGGGATTTCAGGATTTCAAATGCAGAGGCAAGGGCTTTGAATAAACATTTAGGGGTTTCACAGGCAGGTTCCTGGAAAAGTTAGAGAAAAGAATAAGGAACTATAATGCCTGCTATCTTTATATACAGATTGTTGAGAATATGTTTCTAAATAATCAATATCAGATTTCTGATACCTTCCGCTTTATCTGTCCTGATGGTCCATTTCTTTTACTTTGTTCTTCTGATTCAAGCAGACCATTCATATTCTCCACCCCTTTTTTATCTCAGTTTCTCAGAGTTCAGAAATGTGTATGGGTGAGAGTGTGTGTCTGGTCCACTTGCCAGCATCCCTTTCCTGTAACAAACATTTGGGCACTTATCTAATATTTATTTAAAACTTTATGGGTTGGCAGCCTTCCCCTCCCCCTCCCTACAAAACTACTCTAGGAGAAAATCCTAATATAATTCCAGTGCGCTCACCCTCACTTGCCTGTCTGCCCTGACTTTGTTAGGGACTGGGATTTATGGAGTTATATTTGGAAAAGCAATTCTGACTTGCTGTATCAAACAGCAATTGGCAGAGTAGAGATTTCTGCATCTGAACCGGCTTTTCTTAATCACTTTGGCTGCCATCCAAACCTCTTTGCATATAGAACTACAAGCACAAATCATGAGGCTCACATTTTAGAGATACATTTTGTAGCCTGTAGAATCCTAGATCCTTAATAAGAGAAATACACTTTGTGAGTATAGTATAGGACATTTTTGTGTGCTTCGGTTGATATAGGTAAGTCCAGTAGATTTTTCTGTTGGGATGCAGAATGGCATCTTCTGGAACCAGGGGCTAGATTATTATGCCTTTGATGTGCAGTCAGTCCCGGGTCATAATCAGTACCATAATAATAAATGTTCTCGTGTCCTATTTATAGTGCTTGATCTCAAGAGATGTTTGTTTTTCCTAGAATCCCTTCCATACATAGAAAAGCTAGCTGACTCATGTGTTTCGTATCTGTGCTTGAAAAATGGTCATGGGTTCTGTTTTAAGATATCATGAATGCAGAATTTGATTCAATGTGTTGGCATTAAATTCAGATTTATGGGTGCTTGCAATTATTGCTACTAGGTCTGGGCTCAAATTGATACTAGGCCTGTATTCCTTTTGCCACTGTTTTGAGGTTCACCTGATTTGGGATGGGCATATCAGGCAAACCCCAAAAAAGGGAGTTAAAAGAACCCAAACTAGGTGGTATAAAATGATTCCTGTCATTTGGAGTGGGGGTGGGAGACTTACCATCGAGACAACAAGGCTTTCTCTCACTCCCCACCCCCTCTGGTGTCATGGACTGGCTGAAAGCAGAGGAATGGTGGGAGGCACCAGTTGGTGAACCCCCAAGGAAAGAAAGCTCAGGCAGAGCCTAGGAATTGGTGTCGGGGGTGACAATGAGTGGTCAGATGGAGATCACGGATAAGACTGGGAGGTGGTGGTGTAGAAAGCTGAAGAGGTAACAGGGTTTAGTGAGCAAGGAGAGTTTGTGGCAGAGAGAAGTCCGGAAGCGGAAGCAGGAGACGAGGGAGGCCAAGAGGCAGAGATGAGTCAGGCTGGTGAAAAAGCCAGGGTGCCACCCCCTGCTGCAATAAGCCCCGCCCCCCAGTCTCCCAGGACCAGAAGAGGTATGAAGAGGGAGCAACAGAGACAGGCACACCAGCGTAGTCTCAGGTTGCTTGGGAAGGACCCAGGGAAGGAGGAGACTTAGGCAGCTGTGGGAATGCGGGGACCTTCAGTCTCCGCAACTGCCTCATAGGGGCAAGTTCTGCTGTGAAGAGTTGCTGTGCTCCTTAGGCCTGGCACTCCCTCCAAAATGGCTTGTCCCAATCCACCACCAGCAAATGGAGGTGGCAAATTGGAGGTCTCCATATACAGTCCTCTTATTCAGTTGTTCTGGAGAATTCAGATGACATAACTCCAGATCTACTTCATTCCTGTGTTTCCTCTGTAGTCTTCCCATTTTTTCCAACTGCCACTTTTGTGGCCATTTTCAATTGCTTTGGCAAGCATAGCCCTATTGTTTTCCCTCTGTGGAGCAGTGTTCTGCAATATGGGTAGCGACATGTGTGGTGATAGTTTCTTCTTCCATGCCTTTCTGCTTTCGTGTTATATTATTACTGGTTCTCCCTATTAGTCTTACAGGGGTCAGCAAAATTTTTCAGCAGAGGGCCGGTCCACTGTCCCTCAGACCTTGTGGGGGGCTGGACTATATTTTGAAAAAGAGAGAGAGAATGAATTCCTATGCCCCACAAATAATCCAGAGATGCATTTTAAATAAAAGGACACATTCTACTCATGGAAAAACACACTGATTCCCGGACTGTCTGCGGGCCAGATTTAGAAGGTGATTGAGCCAGATCCGGCCCCCAGGCCTTAGTTTGCCTACCCATGGTCTTTGAGAACAGAAAGTTTTGAGATTGCTTCATGAAACAAGGAAAGCATTTGTAGCTGAAATAGGTTGGCCATGTTGCAAAAATAAAGAACTTGTCATTTTTCTTTGCATCTGTGATATATTTATCCTTTTTTGCACTTCAAATAAAATGCAAAATATGTCTCTCATTGCTCAATAATAAATATTTAAACATCAAAAAATCTTAATGATTCAGAAATCTCATGAAGCAAGCGAGAGCTAAAAGTAACTGCACAATGAGTCCTTGACACAATAATCCATTCTACTACTTGTTCCTTTCTATTTTTGCTTGAGTCTTCTATCTTAATTTGTCTTATAGCATGCTTCTTTCACCATATTCTTCCCACTTGAGAGTTACTGCAGACACACACACCAAAAAGAGCCAAGAAGGAGAAATGATCCCACTTTCTGTGCCAGAAAAACACAATATATGTGAAAGTTGAAGTGAGTTTCTTTAACGCTGAAGCAAGGGAGGAAACATTCAGATCTTGTGTAGTAGCTAACTAAAGTTAAGAAAGAACAGTCTGACATGTCAGAATGTTCAGCACATTTCTTTAGGATCCATCAATTTCTTGCAATGAGATTTTCCAAATTTGTGTCCGGTGTGCCCTTCGGAGCTCTTTGTTTCATTTGCACCCAATTTTTATTTTTTGCTTAAAAAGTAAAATAAAATTGCTACATCTATACAGATAGAAAGAAAGTGGTATCTTCGGCTGCAATCCTGTGCACACTTATTTGGAAGGAAAACCCCACTGAACTCAGTGATACTTACTTTTAAGAAGACTTACAAGGGTTGTACTGCTAATGTTTAAAAAGAAAATAAGACTTTGGGTTGTATCCAGTGGGACTCATACTCAGCATAGATAAGCTTGAATTAATAGACATGGCTAATGTAAGTCTGTTAATTTCAGTGGGTCTACTCTGTGTAAAGCTTGGTTGGATACGATCCATTGGCAGTGTGTAAATTCCATTAAGCATTGTTAGCAGAATTGGCAGACTTCCAAGAGAATAGAAAAGCTTTTATTTCTCCTCCTTTTGTTGCAGATGGACCCAATTCAAAAAGCTGTAATAAATCATACGTTTGGGGTTCCTCTTCCTCACAGAAGAAAGCAAATCATATCGTGCAACATTTGCCAGTTGAGATTTAATTCGGATGTAAGTAGATAATTTATATCTTCTTAAAAATATGTATGCATGAGATAATGGGTTTAGGTTTTTGCTTTGCTTTGCTTTCCTTTTTTGGCAATGGAACCAGTATGATATTATTTCACATTTGCCTCGTGGTTATGGAGCAATAATGTATATGATTACTTGATACTCATCGGCTCAGCTTTTCTCTTTCGGTTCTCCTTTCTGCAATTTCAGTTCTACAGCTTGAATTATATATAGCTATAGATAAAGTTATATGGAAGCCTGCTGAACATGGAGGGAAAGGAAGAGCAGATAGGTGCCTAGGCCAACTGGAAGAAAACAAACCACAGTGCCTGGGAAACTTCTCTTCAGCTGCACAGGCAAATGTGGTAGGGATTGGGGGCAGGGGAAAAAGGCTTGGGGAAGAGCTGGACATGGTTTGGGGGGGGGGCTGGTGGCTTGCCACTCGGATGT